TCACAGGCATGCACTACCATGCCCGGCTAATTTTTTGATTTTATTGTAGAGATGAAGTCTCGCCTGCCCAGGCGGGTCTCGAACCCGCGGGCTCAGGCAATCCACTCACCTCAGCCTCCCAAAGGCGCGGGATTACAGGCTGAGCCACCGAGCCCGGCTTAGGCCAAGATTCTTAGCAGTACAAAACAGTAGGAATGGAGTCTAAGGTTTGTCTCTAACATTTTGATTTTTTTTTTGTTTTGAGTTGGAGTTTCACTCTATTGCCCAGGCTGGCGTGCAGTGGCATGTTCATGGCCACTGTAGCCTCTACCTGGGCTCAGGTGATCCTTCCGCCTCAGCCTTCCAAGTAGCTGGAACTACAGATGCGGGCTACCACGTCCGGCTTATTTTTTGTTTTATTGTAGAGAGGAGGTCTCACCAAGTTGCCCAGGCTGGTCTCGAACCTCTGAGCTCAGGCAATCCTCTCGCCTCAGCCTCTCAAAGTGCTGGGATTACAGGCTTGAGCCACAGTGCCCGGCCCTAACATTTTGTTTTTAAATAACATTTTGTTTTCTAATTACAAAGTAATGCATACTCAGTGCAGAAAACTTAGGAAAGGCAGAAGTATGAGAGTTTTTTAAAAAATCACCCTATTTGAAGCCAGGCATGGTTGCTCATGTCTGTAATCCCAGTACTTTGGGAGGCTGAGGCGAGAGGATTGTCTGAGCCCAGGGGTTCAAGACCAGCCTGGGGAACTTGGCGAGTGCTCTTCTCTACAATAAATCAAAAAATTAGCTGGGCATGGTGGTGCATATCTGTAGTTCCAGCTACTTGGAAGGCTGAGGAGGAAAGATTGCCTGAGTCCAACACCTCAAGGCTGCAGTGGCCTTAAGCGTGCCACTGCACTCCAGCCTGGGCGACAGTGAGACTACAATTAAAAAAAAAAATCACCCTATTTGTTCCATTTATCCCTTTAACCTCAGTAACCCGGTGCCTGGCACAGATTATGTATTTAAGACCTAAATCAGGTGCGGTGGCTCATGCCTGTAATTCCAACACTTTGGGAGGCTGAGACGAGAGGATTGCCTGAGCCCCAGGGGTTTGAGACCAGCCTGGGCAACATGGTGAGATCCTGTCTCTACAATAAATCAAAAAAATTACCTGGGCATGGCGGCACACACCTGTAGTTCCAACTATTTGGAAGCTGAGATGGGAGGATCACCTGAGCCCAGCAGGTCAAGGCTGCGGTGGCCTTGAGTGTGCCACTGCACTCCAGCCTGCCTGACAGAGTGAGACTCTCAAAACAACCTATTTTTTGAAGGAATTGTCTTCATTCCCATCACTCAGAGATAAAAAACATAATTAACTTTTGATTGTTTAGCTTTTCAACCTTTTATAGGATCATATTATACAAAGCTTTGTCACCTGTTTTGCGTTTTTTTGTCTTGGCAATATACTTCCTATGTGTATGTGCGTTTTCCCATACTGATAGCATTTTTACAACATAATTTTAATGATTTTATAGTATTCCTTCAAATGGATGTATAATACTTTTCCTAACCAATTCTCTACCACTGGACATTTAGTTGGTTTCCAGTTTGTGTTGTTACAAACAGCACTGATTAGATATCCTGGTACAAATATTTTTGTCCACATATTTATTTCTTTTTTTTTTTGAGTCAGAATCTCACTCTGTCACCCAGGTTGGAGGGCAGTGGCACACAGCCTCGACCTGCTGAGCTCAGGTGATCCTTCTGCCTCAGCCTTCCAAGTAGCTGGATCTACAGGCATGCACCACCACGCCCAGATAATTTTTTGATTTATCGTAGAGATGAAGTCTCGCCAAGTTGCCCAGGCTGGTCTCAAACACCTGGACTCAGGCAATCCTCTGGCCTCTGCCTCCCAAAGTGCTGGGATTACAGGCATGAGCCACCATACCCAGTCACATATTTCTTTCTTTTTTTTTGAGTTGGAGTCTCACTCTGTCACCCAGACTGGAGTGTAGTAGCCGCTCCGGCCACCGCAGCCTCGACCTGCTGGGCTCCGGCGATCCTTCCGCCTCAGCCTCCCGAGTAGCTGGAACTACAGGCGCGCGCTACCACACCTGGCTCATTTTTGATTTATTGTGGAGATGAGGTCTCGCCCAGTTACCCAGGCGGGTCTCGAACCCGTGGGCTCAGGCAATCCACTCACCTCAGCCTCCCAAAGGCGCGGGATTACAGGCTGAGCCACCGGGCCGGCTAGCATATATATTTCTTTAGGATGCATTCCCAGAAGTAGAATTGTTAGGTCTAAAAAGTAGGCACATTTGAAGATTTTCTTTTTCTTTTTCTTTTTCTCTTTTTTGAGTTGGAGTCTCACTCCGTCACCCAGACTGGAGTGCAGTGGCCGCTCCAGGGACTGGAGTGCAATGGCCGCTCCCGGCCACCGCAGCCTCGACCCGCTGGGCTCCGGCAACCCTTCCGCCTCAGCCTTCCGAGTAGCTGGAACTACAGGCGCGCGCTACCAAGCCCGGCTAAATTTTGATTTATTGTAGAGATGAGGCGGGTCTCGAACCCGCAGGCTCAGGCAATCCACTCACCTCGGCCTCCCAAAGTGCTGGGGTTACAGGCTGAGCCACCGAGCCCGGCCTCCTTTTTTTAAAAAATAAGAACAGACCACTCTGAAATATTGGAAGATTTCGGATACATCTAAGAAAATGGTATTGCCAATTTACCCTTCACGGCTACTGCTAATTTTTCAAAAGGCCAAAGTAAGGAAAATCTGTTATATTTTATCTTTGACGAGGCAGCACAAACTAATCAACTCAAAGATTTTTGCCTTTGGTCGGAATCACAGCAAGTCCTAACCACTGCGTTAGTTATTGACACTTGCAGACCAGAACCTAACTGGCTGTCAGGTTTGGATCAGTATGAAAGGAGCAAACAAGTTAGTAACTTAGAATCTATAAACTTTTGTTTAGGGTCTAAATTTCAAACCTTGTGACCGGCGAGGGTTTCTAACAGTGAAAAGCTCTGGGAACAACTGACGCCCTAGCGTCTGGCAGGGGCCTAGGCCCTGCCAGCGTCGGCGCCCCATGCCTCCTGACTCAAAGTCCCGGGTGCTACCCCCACGTAGTGCTACTCAGAGGAGGACCACCACCTCCGCTCCCCGGCCCTGCCCGGCCAGCGGCGTGCACCTGCAGAGCGCTGGGCCAGGGCAGAAAGGACCCAGCCCCTGCCAGCGGCCCGGGCGGCCCCCGCGCGGGCACCGC